TAGGCAGTTCACAGCACAGATGTTTGATTTGTTGCAGACCAGCCAGAGTATATTTCTCTAACTTCCTCTTCTCCACTAGCCAGAGAAAACTGCTTTCAAAGAACTCATATGATTCAGTCAGATCTATGTGCATAAGCTTCTTAATCTTAAAGACAACTGATTTGGGATTTCAATTACATCTGTAAAATCCCTTCACAGCAGTATCTAGATTAGTGCTGAAATGAATAACTAAGAGGTTTGTATGCCATGAGGTGGGAACCTCGATGGCTATCTTAGAACTCTGTCTACCACAACCTCCTATTGAGATGTACTCATATAAATAAAGCATGTCACAAAAAAATGAAAAAAAGAAAAAAAGAAATATGGAGCAAATGCTTTAATTTTTACTTATATTATTTCAGATATAGTACTTTATTCATTAATATGGCTTATTTGCTATAGCAAAGTAAGGAAAGGATGAAATAAAGTCAAATGTAAACTTAGGTATATCGCAACTCTGTCTATCTCAAGTTTCAGTTATAAAGTAAAGACAGTAACACGATCTTTCCTATCCTAAACTTTTTCAGAGTTCAGGGTCTAGATTCAGACTGATCTGGGCTCAAATCGTGATCACTAACTATTGGCTGTGAAACTTTGGGCAAGCTATTTAACTCTTCTAAACCTCAGTTGCCTTTCTTATAAAATAGTGATACTAGGAATATCTTCCTCTAATAATATATGAAGTAAAATAATATATATAAAATACTTAATATAGTGCCTGGTACCTAGGGAGCACTAATTTAATGATAGTATTATTATGTTGTCATTGAATGATGTAATAGATGAAATTGTCTAGAAAAGTTTGAAGAACTATTCTAATGTAATATACTTACATTAGGTACACACACACAAAACATACCATTAACCAAGTACTCTATATATGTGTTGAATATGTTTAGTAGACACACATTACTATATATTTAATATACTATCTTAATTTTGTGGTTGAAATTCCCACTTAAATCTGTCCTTCATCCCATTCAATGTAAACATATCAGTGTATATGCACAATAAAAAACATAAAGAGAACTGATAATCACGGTTATGGTTTGAAATGTGTTCCCCAAAGTTCATGCGTTGGAAAGAATCCCTAATACAGCAGTGCTGAGGGGTGAGGTCTAATAAGAGGTGATTAGGCTATCAGGGTGCTGCCCTCATAAACAGATTAATGTTATTATCATGGATTGGATTAGTTATTAAGGGAGTGGTTTATTACAAAAACAAGTGTGGTCACTTTTTGTCTCCCTCTCTCATGTCCTTCTTCCGTCATAGAATGATGCAACATGAAGCCCTTGTCAAATGTGGAACCCTCAATCTTGGACTTGCAGCCTCTAAAAAACGAAAAGCTAGAGACATTTATAGTTAAGTGGATGCACATTGAGGACATACACTTAAGTGAAATTAATAGGACACACATGTGTAAATACTGTATAGTTTCTCTGGTGTGATAAACTAAAAGGGTAAATAAGGGTCAAAACGTATAATTGATCTTGTGTAGTAGGAAGAAAAGGTCTAAAGGTATTGGGCAAATGGGAGGGGTAGGGGAAAGGTAAAAAGAGAAGAGAAAAGAAAGAAAAAGGAAACAAACTCTTTGTAAATAGGGAAGGAAGGCTAAGGGAATGGGGAAAAAATAAGAACCAAGATATGTCATGTAAAGGTACAAGATCCCAATGATGAAAGTAACTGTATTGTATACCTAAAATAAAGATTCAGTTTATAATTTTTAAAAAAGCACCCAAGCTCAGGTATTCTGTTACAGTGGCACAAAACAGACTAGGACAATCATCTTTAAATAGATGAAAGGCTTTGTATGGACTTAATAACCAGAATTTTAACCAATGGACAGAAATGTAGACATACTAAATAAAATGAAGAAATTGTTTAACACTTGAGGTTATCCAGATTGGGTAAACAGTAAGTTCCATGTCCTTGAACAACCATTTATCAAAGACATTTGTAGAAGGAATTCATGCATGATATGAAGCTTTGGACTAGTGACCTTTAAAGTTCCTTCTACCTCCAAATATCATCACATTGGGGATTAATTTCTGAATACGAATTTTAAGGACATAAACACTTGGTCTATAGTGCCATGCAATTCTAGTTGTTGCTATTCAACGTGTATGTATGTGCATATCAGCCTGCTGGTTAATATTTCAACATAAACATTTGCCCTTATATTAAGTTTCAGCAATTAAAAAAAATACACATAAAGATGACATCTGGGGAAAGGAGAGCTACAAAAGAAGTAGCAATTTATGACCTGGAGTAATTTTTAGAAGCATAAAGTTCATATTTCTTTATCTTTCTTTATATCTGGCTATAAGTGCTCACTTTGGCAGCACATATACTAAT